ACAACTTCTAATTATCTTCTTCACTTTTTGCTCTTCACAAACAACTTAAATAGTTGTTCCATAAAACAAAAGTTCAAAGTCTTGTCAAGTGGATTTAATATTGCCGAAAGCAGAAGAAAACTGCATAAGAGGAGGACCATACAATCTAGAGAAATGCTAAAGTTGAGTTCTTTAATGCTCAGCAACCTAATTTTTATACAATATTACAACCATGTACACAAACATTTACAATCAAAGATCTAAGAGTAGGAAAAACTTCAGAGAGCTAATGATACTGCAAAACTTGATGACAGTCCAAGACTCAGAGACAGGAACAATAGGTTTGTTATGTAAACCATGATATGCAACAGAATGAGATTTTGAAAATTTTTGAAAAACCAAATCCAACACATGATAGATAGTCTTTAAAAAAAAAATCATACTAAAAAAAAAATTGTTAGATGATTAAAACGTTACAAAACTACTCGATCCTTCTCGCTATTTTCCTCTTCTTGAAATAACTCATACGTGAGCACCAGTTGAATTCTCTTAAGGCCTCACGACCTTGAGGTTTGAACACTTTCTTGTGTGCCTTGCACAGGGAGGGGGAGGTAAGGCCTTATGGCCCTGTGGTCCACGCGTGAGGCGCATCCCAAGCCTTACTTCAGAAACTCTTTAGCACACTATAACAATTTCCTTTGAACCGCCATGCACCTGCAATAAAAACTTTACCGCCATTTCAGAATATTTAAAATAAATAAAATTAACAAAAATTGAAAATTTGTAAAATATCACCCTCTTGAATCTTCTTCTCCAAATGCCCCAATCTTTATGAAACAATTACATAGAAAAGTCCTATGTCGTTTCGAACTCTAAATACAGAACAACTCCGTGCGACAATTTTCTTTGCACATTAGATGACGGTTTACTAGAAACCCATTGTCTAATCTATTTATTTTTATTAACAGCATTTCTTTTTAAATTTATCACCATTATCAATTCGAGAGCATTCTGCAACATTTCACTAATTTAAGAGAGATAACTTCATTTAAAAGTTCAAGGGCAACTTGCCATTTCACTAATTTAAGAGAGATTACTTTCCATAATTAATAGTTCAAGAGCAACTTGTCAATTCAATTGAAGACCAGGAGGGCAAAGCCCCAAAGATTAAAACATAAAGTTAAAATCAAACTAAGGTCCCGTTCATTTCGCCGATTCGAGTTTTGCTACAGTAAAAAGCTCTCAGAAACAGTCATATCTAACTTTTTTGCTACAGTAAAAAGCTCTCACACAAAATCACATCTCAACTCAAATTACAAACTCGGATCAGCGAAGTGAACGAGCCCTAAGTCTTAAAATACTAAGATCCCAAGTTTAAAAAGAAAAAAAAAATCAGATGAAGAACTTAAAAAAATTAATTGGAATTTGACCGGGTGTCTTTAGCATTATTCTTTATGTAGTTGACACTTGATCCTTGTTTTTTAAAATTAACCACAAGGACAGTTTTAAAAAAATGATAACTATGAAAAGACAAAAAAGCCCTTTACATTAATTGATTGCATTCAACAACCAAACCCTAGCCTAAAAGCCTAAATACAGTCCAAACCCTAGCTTTCTCTAACGACCCGGACTCCCACCTAGTATGACATTATCCATTCTAGGCTTGAGCCCGTAAAGTTTTACTTTTGGGCATTACCCCAAAATGCCTCACACCATTAGAATGTGGTGTTATTCCTTATAAACCATGACCTATCTTTATCCCCAAATGATGTGCGACTGCACAATTTACTCTTTCTTGGCCTTGTGCCTCAAGAGATTGATGGCTATCACACTTTCTTTGTTTTCTCATCTCTCTCTCTATCACCGTCATCCTCCCAATATCGGCAATAACAGGGTCAATGCCTTAATCCCGCCATCAAGTTCCCTCTCACCTTCTACAACCCGTTCGTAGTATGATGTTGGCAAAAAAAGAATGGGAGAAATCTTAACTCCAAGAAAGAAAGAAAAAATAGTTATTTCCCTAATTTTTGAAAACTCCAATTATATTTTATTGTAGGTAACGCCACCCACCCAAATTTCTCAAATCATTTTCTCCATATCGCAATTTGTTTTATTGTTTTCAAAATTAAAAATATTGTTTAAGAACACGATCGATCCCAACCAAACTTGCTTCAATCTTAGGTTTAAAAAAATGCTTCCGTTAAAAATGGGTCCTCAGAAGTAAGGCCGGCAATATGGGTCACGACACGATGACACGACTCGAAAACGACACGAATTTTACAGGTTAGGGTTGAGAAAAAAGATGTTCGGGTCAAAATCGGGTTGACCTGAAATTGACACGAAAAACACTGGTCAATTTCGGGTTGAACCCGCCTAACCTGAACACGACACGAAACTCGTAAAAAACTAAAAAATACATATATTTTTCATTTCATATTTTAAATTTTATTATGAACTTGTGATATCATGATAGTTATACTTAAAATCGTATACTATTATTTGCTTAATTTTAATGGATGTTATTGTAATTTAGTGTATTATGAATTTTAAGTTATTTCTAATATGTAAAATAACTAAATAAAAATATACAATTTTCGTGTTAATTTTGTGTCACGGGTCATTTTCAGGTCGTGTCGTGTCAACTCATAAAGTGGTCGTGTCGTGTTCGTGTTGCGGTTTTTAAAAAATTTCGTGTCACGGGTCGTGTTCGGGCTGACTGTAAATTTAAAAAAAAAATGATTAAAACACGACACGAACACAACACGTGACACGAATTGTCACCCCTACTCAGAAGCAATTGTTTTAAGACATTCATATTAACATACCCAAATTTAATTTTTAACCAAGAAAAAAATTTTGATTATAGGGTTTCTCAACATAACCGTTAGGGGATTTTCTGATAAGATACCGGCCAAACGTAGGGCATGCATGTTTGGCAATACCTAACAGAAAATGACCCATGAAATTAAATTATTGAACTGAATGTGGCTTATTACGCCGTGAAATTAAGTTATGGTTCGTCATATAATCTCAATCATAATTAACATATATAGTGCATCCCCATATAGTTTCGGTATAAAACCTAATTCTAGAAATACTACTCACGTTTTAGGTCAGCGAGAAGGTAAGTTCAGCTATCTTGCCGAACTCGGATTCAATATATATTTAACGTTCCTTTCTGCGGTTTACACTTTTTCTCATCCTAATTACATATTTTTAGGATAAAATCAATTTTTTTTCTTTTTTTTTCCTGAGTAGGATAAAATCAATTTGATTCAAAGGTATCTTGATTTTTTACTAATATTAAGTAAGTAACTTCGAGTTTTAAAAAACGTGTTGTGAGTACTCAAACTTTTTTTGGGACATAAAATTTCCTTTCTACCTTTCCACTTCATTAATTAGAGAGTATTTTTTTTTTTTTTTTTAAATTCTAACAATATTTTAAAACATTTAAAAATAAACGCTAAAATTTTATATTCTTAAGATATGAATTTAAAAAAAAAAAAAAAAAAACTGTTTTTAAAAAATTGACATTTTAAAACATTTTAGTTTATAAACATTAAAATGTTTTAGTTTATAATTAATTAAAAAAGAGTAGAATTGACATTTTATGTCTTAAGAAAGGTCTCAAGATACTTGTAACAATACGTTTTCTAAAATTTAAAAGTACCTATTTAATTATTAAAAAGACAAGATACATATTTTTGAAATATTTCAATATCTAGCTCTGTGTATATATATATATAGTAAGGACTAGGGACGTTCAATGATTAGAATCTCCAGAGGTCAATCCGCAATCCAATTCAAATCCTTCAAATTGAGACAATCTTAATCTGTGTCTGATCCAAAACATTTTTGGACTTAATCCAATCCAATTCAAACCTATCCGATTTTGTGGATTGAGTTCACGTTAAAATTAATAAAATTATTAAACATGGATACAAAATAAAAAAAACAAATGAAATCTTCATCATTTAGTAATAACATTTCAAAATTTGTAACATCCATAACCCACATAAACATATCATAACATAAAATCCTTCAGCAAATTATAAATTGTTATAATCCAATTAAAACTTAAAAGGAGATTTAGTAAAACTCAAAATGAAATCTTACATTTACATATACATATACGCAATTTTTTTCAAAAGAAAATTAAAACTTAACCTAAAAAATTATGCATATTATATATATAATATGTTTCGGATTCACTGATTTCAAAACTTTCGAATTGGGAAATTGTAATATATGTCCAATCTAAAACTTTTTTCAATTCAATCCAAAACCTGGGATTGGATTATATTTGATGGATCAATCGGATTGATATATTCCATGAAATAAACACCCTAACAAGGAGTACCGAAATATATGATTCTGGTCATGGGACTTGATTATATGATCTCACGTGTAGCCATATGCGTGTAATACTAGCACACTGCACCTCAATGATTGTGAACATATTTAAAAGAATATTAATGATAATGGCAAGACCTACTGCACTCCATTTTCATATGCATGGATCCCAATGGTTACCAAAATCCTAGGAAAAAAAAAGGTTTAATATTGTATTAGTACCATGGAAAGAGTATACATTAATAGAAAGAGGAACTAACAAAAGGGAAGCTCTTTTTTTTCATAATACACTTATCTTTTTTTAAATAAAAATTTACCATTGCTAATCACTTCATATATAAACAGTTCATATACAAACCATGAGATTTTCCTACCACCAGTTGCGATGGCATACATGGCATTCATGGCTCTCTCAAGTCTCATCCATTACCGTTTGAGACAAAGATGACTTTTTTTAGGGAAGAGAAAAAGAACAGAAAAAAAAAAAAAGGATTTTCCTAGATACGATGTTTACATTACATATGTGGGTCCGCATCAACTGCACTGTTCTAATCTCCCAAGTCCCATCACCCACATTTTCTTTTTTTTTCTTTTTTTTTAATATCATTAGGACATTAGGCCTAAATCAGAATTATTAACAACTGGCTAATTATAATGAATTAATCAAACTAAATGGCAAGCAAAAGGCCAGGCAAGGAGCGGCGGAAGAGGTCCCTAGGCATGCTCTGCCAAAGCGTACTAGTACTCAACCTCTGGTGGTGGCCAACCGCCTGCGGCGGGGGCCGGAGATCCCGGACCGTGAGCCACGTGTTGAAGTACTCCCTAAACTGCGTCACAACGCCGTCCTTGACCGTCCAAACCTGGACCCAATAGGCCTTGGCACCCTCCCATCCCTCGGCTATGACGCACGCGCCGCTGACCGCCGTGACGCTCCTCGGGTCGAAGCAGAAGGCGGCCGCGTGGCTCGGGGACTCCCCGGTGAGCACGCGCATCATGTGGTGGCACCGCGGCGGACCGTGGAACCAGTACTCGAGGTCGCTGGCTATGAGCTTTGAGACTGCCTCGGTCTCGCCTTGGGACAAGGCTTTGTAGAGCTTCTTTATGGTGGCCTCGTTTTGACTGCCAATTGTTTCGTTGTCGTCCGTTTTGAGATTGGAAGAGTCAACTAGTATTGGAGATGTGGTGATTTCAGTTGACATTTTTTTTGTTTTTTGGGGGGGTTTTGGAAGAGTAGTGATGAGAAAATATTACTAGAATGTATCTTAGCTACTTTATGCTATATCAATATGTGAGCTTTTCTTTTGCAATATATGTGTTCTGTGCATGGTTTTTGGATGGGTGGAGTGAATGCTATTTATAGGTGGGGAGGGGAAGTGAGTGGGGTCATTTAAAAAAAAAAAAAAAAAAAAAAAAAAAAAAAAAGGAATTTTGAAAGGAATTAGATTATTAGACTGTCCGATTGAAACCAAACCACCAATCAAACGTATAAAGTGCCTAACTCCTCTCGTAAAAAAGGTTTGTTAAGGACATAAAATACATTTTAAATTCTGTTTTTTTTTTTTTTTGCGTGGAAACAGTTAAAATCTTGTGATTTTGCCAAAAAGAAAAAAGTGCACTTCATTTCAGGAGAATGTTTATAATTTTTCTTTGTTACTTATATATATATATATATATATATATATATATTAGCAAATGAAGAGAGCAGGCACAACTAATATATATAAAAGAAAACTAGTCGACAACCACAACAATTAAGGGCCCGTTTAGTTCGCTGATTCGAGTTTTTAATTCGAGTTGAGATGTGATTTTATGTGAGAGCTTTTTACTGTAGCAAAAAAGTTAGATGTGATTGTTTATGAGAGCTTTTTACTGTAGCAAAACTCAAATTCTAAACTCGAATCAGCGAAATGAACGGGGCCTAAGTTGACACCTACTAGAAATACTATATGCTATTAAGACTACCATTCTTTTTTTTTTTAAGGTACCCATTCAATTTTTAACTTCATTCAATTGAGTTTTTTTTTTTTTTTTTTTTAATGTTTTGTATTTTTTTAGCTAAGAAAATGTTTGACAAAAATTATTAGATTGAATGAACTTTTGAGCCTATATATGCATTATACGAAAAAAAAAATACGTATAGAGAGATAAAATCAGGTTTCATTAATTTTGCCAAGGCATAGAGGACTGTTCGATGTCATGCATCAATAGCCATATGGGCTCCATCTGAACTTCAACATAATGGAGTTGTAGCCATAAGCAACTTTGATCACACGGTCAGATTAAGATTGTGGTGATTGCACGTCTACATATATAACAAGGAATACCCTCGAATGGTCCGAATTTTTTCAAGGACATAAATGCATGTATGTATACTTTGAGATTTTTTTAATTTTTTTTCTCTTGGTGGATATTAAAACTTGAGAATATTATTTCTCTCAGCATATAACAAAAACAAATCGAGGTTTTTTTTATTTTTTTATTTTTTTGCTTCCAAAAAACATATTTGAAGTCATTTTCACCAGAATTTATCCAGTTGGTATAAAATAAAAATATTGTTACACAACAGCTCATATCTCATAAAAAAGTTTAAAAAATAAAATAAAATTCTTGAAAGGGATCCCCATACTCTTTTTTAATTAAAATCCTTTTTGGGAGCCAATAGCGATATATGAGTGATTTGTAGGATCTATGAATTTTATATAGGGATCAATGAAGAAAAAGGGAGAAGTATCAATGAAAAGAAAAGGGTAGAATTATATATATGTGTGTGTCTCCTAGCTAGATCATCTCTCACATGTTTTAAAGCCAATTTATTATAATAAATTTGTTTTCAAATAGTAATTATCATGAGTTAAAATAGTTGATTTTAAACTAGTAATATTAAATAGTGTGCATATACATATATATATATATGCATTAATTTCTGGGGACAAACGAAGAGGCTGTAATGGTATTTGATGGACACGAGGCTGTAATGCATTAATTTCTGGGGACAAACGAAGAGGCTGTAAGTGTGCATATACATATATATATATATATATGCATTAATTTATGCGTATATATCTTGTCTCTTTCAAAATAACCAAAAAAATTATATGCGTGTTTGCGCTAGAAAATTGACCCTTTTGTAAATTTACATATGTCTGCAAATGATACAAAGCATAACACACCTAACCCAAACAAATATATGTGTATATGTACTACAAATATAACCAAAAGTTATTTTCATCCAATTCTATGCATGAGAAGGATATTATATATATATATATATATATATATTGCTCAGAATTAATATGCCATGTATAGAATTGGACCAAGCAGGTAACCTGATAAAGAAGACGATCGAGAAATAGAGGTACATTTGCAGCTAGCTGTATCCTTTCCGATGACCGTAAGCAATGACATAAATTAAAAAGCAACCAAAAAAAAAAAGAAAATCAAAGCTTTAAACGTGATTAATGAGCTGGTTAATTGAATAATTATTTAGATCTAGCTAGCCTTTACTGATTCACTTTTTTGGCAATTAATAGAATAGAATAATCTCCGGAAGAAAACAAAAACAAAGAGATAATCCAAAGGCTGCCGATACGCATCATACGAAGAACCAAAACAATTGGCGAAAAAGGAGAATATTCCGTGTGTTATACCAGCAATTAAAGACAATAAAAATAGCCAAAACAACTATATATGGATGCTTCAACACAAACAAAAGACATGTATTCCTCAAAGGATGGAGTGTACGACATTTCTAATATGGGAAATTCAGACTTCTTTTTCTGTATTTGTCTTATTTTTCTCGAACTTTTTATAAAAAAATTCTGTTTCCAACGCTTAGAGAAACAAGAAAAGAGTAAGATGGAATTTTGTCACTTAAGAAAATATACATACGAGCATGACAGCAACAGGCCTAGAGATTAATGCCAGGCTGGCTGTAAAGCTGACTGTTTGACTTCATTGTCTCGTCGTTTTTTATAGGCATGATAGCACGCCGTCCCTCCTTTCAAAATCACCGTTTACATATGTGTTTCTACGAGTTGGTATATATATAGTCAAGATAATTTTTTCCGGAAAAGATTTTATTGATGAGTCAGAAGACTCTTCAATATATGAACTTTTTTTTTTTAATCAAATGATCTGGTGCTTAGAACTAAGATGAAAATTAAATGATCTGAAGTTGTTTTGAATTTACATTATAGTTTACAATAAGTTAAAATTAGTACTTTTTAGTGATTGGTCTCAAAAATAAAGGAAAAAAAAAAAAAAAAAAAAAAAAAAAAAAAAAATTTTTATCGTGTAATTGTCGTTTGGTGGCCAAGTATTTTGCCAAGTATTTTTGTCGTGTTGATGGTCATGAATCATACATGATGAATCTAGAGTCTCCCCAAACATTGCTTCCTCCAAATAGACATCTTTGCAAATTATATAAACTGGATTCTCATACGTACACACACAAGAATGAATGTATGTGATGACTTCTTATCCGTTTGATTCATATATTTGATTGGAAAATTTAATTGTTTTTCAAAAAAAAAAATATATATATATATTGTATAACAAAAAGATTTGAATTGTGATTCAAATTCATAAAATAAATGGGTGATTAAGCTTCCTTGTTTCTGACTCATTACTACATAAGATGCTCACACTAGGCATATGCTAAAACTATCAATTTATGGCAGTTTCGTACATAAGCATTCTAGCTTCTTAGGTAGTTAATATTGTTAAACACGCACTCAAATGACGGTGATCACACAGATTGATAACGAGGAACGGATAGCTACACTATTCATAGCAATTCTCAAGTAAAATAAAATTAAAACACTATATATCAAAATCGGTGTTTAACTTAAATTTTTAATTAGCTCTTGTGAATAAATTAAAGTTATGATAAAGCTAAATTAATTAACCCAAAGTCAGTACTTTGAAACTCAGATCCGTTGCCTTAAATTTTCATCATTTTACGCTTGTACATATGAAGGAGTACTCTAATGACTAATAGGAAATGTGTAACTTTGCAACAAATCAACATCAAAGTCTCAAACTCGAAATATATCATAAACCCTAAAAAATAGGTCATACTTGGAGTAGAAGTCGCAATAAGTCATTTTAAATTCAAACCTAATCCACTTATATTTATTTGTTTTGGACATATCTATATATATATATATATATAAGTGTATATATAGCTAAGCTAGCCATGCATTTAATAAGACCAGTTGGATCCAGCCAGGAGCCCCTCGTGTATATGGGGTTTGGACATTCTCCTAACCTATAAGCTGAGAGCCGACAGACGCAAAATTATTGGCTTGTACAATGAACTGAAAAGCTCATTTTGGACCACTTAATAATTCCCACGTCTTCTTCTACCCATCATCTGCAGCCAGATTCTTGAATCTTGCTGTCTGATGGAATGTGTGGAAAAGAAAAATCCTTTAGATCTGATCATTTGCATTAATGGAGCTTATCGTTATTGCTTCGATTCTCCATTCCACTACTTCTAGTCCACTAGAAAGAATTTTTAGCACACACACAGACATTTCAGTAGGAGAAGGATCATTTTCAAGCTTAAATAATTTGATTGTTGAACAATATTTTCCTGGACGTAAAATTTCATGGCTCCAAGATCAAAACTCACTATTATTGTTGTGTCGATTTAAGAACATTATCGTGACACCAATGTATAAAGAAAAGAAAAAAGAAAGAAAATGGCATTCCTTGCACAATCATGCGAAATCAAAATCTACGTATGTTGTTTAGTGATGTGCACTTTCTTAAAAAATTGAAAATAGTCATGTCAAGGAATCTCTAATGCTTCTCTAATTAACTCGTCATAAAGGTATACTGCTAAAGTTTAGACTTCTTAATATTATAAACAAGAAAAAGCATAAGATCAAAGAAGAATAATACATTAAACAAGCAAGAACACACAATATTTATAATGGTTCAATTTAAATATTAGAGTTATGTCCACTTTTAATCATTACAGAATTTCACTATGATGATGATAAAGATTACAAGATAAATCAAACCACACACCTCTTTTAAACTCTACGTATTTTTATAACCTAATAATTACAAGATTACGAGATTACAAGGTCGATCCTCGTGATGTTGTCTCTACTGTCAGAATAACAATTAGACTCCACAACTTAATAGATATAAAAAGCAACTATCATTTTTTATTATCACACGTATAATG